TTAAAAACATAGGATTCTATATTTGGATCTTTATTATCCTTTAAAAAAATTGATGTACATATTCTAAATAAACCAATTCACTTTAGAATAATTACTCATTATTATTGGAGGAGAATGTGTAGAGGTATAAACATATCCATCAATGCACATAAATTACAGAAGCGGAATCAACCCAATTTTAAAAAATTAAACATATTAAGACAAGTATTAATTAACACACTATTTAATACATTCCTTCCAACATTCTTTTTTATTGATTAAAATTTATAGAATCATAAGTGAGGAGACTCATTAAATAAGAATTCCTTACTATAAATTTGTGTAATTCTCAATAAATTTTGTGAATAATAAAGATTACATTAAAAAAATAACCTAGTACTAGCTTTTTCTCATTTATATGTCAACTTCTTTTATGGTAGACTCAAATAATTATTTCATATACCAAAAATAACATGTAAAAAAAATCCTTAATTATATCATCGTGTAGATGTATTTCGCATAAACTACCAACAAGTTGATGCCATAATACCTTTGAATTTTAAAGAATGTCCTAAACTGAGTCTATGACATCAGGTAAAGCTCTAAAACAAATGGATGTCATTGATTAAACCAAACACAAAATAAAGATAATTAATTGTGGGCTTCAGAATTCGTTAGCTTGGATTCATTTTTTTTTCCTAAAAAGGGTATCAATTAGATGTATATGCAATCCACGAAGTCATTGGATTTGATCTAATCCACAATCTTAAATGTAAACTTCCGATGTTTTGCCATGTGTAAAACGAAATGAAGCAACTGTTAATGGATTTCATGGCCTATTTGCAAAAGAATTTGGTTTTCTTGTTTGTTAAGCATTTGAAACCCTTTCGCTTTCATTTATGTGCGAAAGAAATATCCACTTTTCTCTTCTTATCACAAAGTTTCTAGAAAACCAATTGTGAAATAACACCTACTTCGGCACTAAAATGAAAAAAGATGATTAAAAAAGAAAGAACAACTTAATAGTTTGTTTTGTATTAATCAATATTACATTGATAAATATAGTTTCCACATTTTTCTTTCTTTGTTTTGGTTTTTCTTTTAATGTCATTTTTGAGGTTGTTTAGGTTGCATGGATGAGCTTTTCCCCAAATGGACAATTTCAGTGCGTATATGATGTTGTGCAACTTTTGAATAATGGAAAATAATGCACTTCCATTCTCAATTTTTAAATGAACAAAAATGTGTTATGTGATTGATGTCATTGAACAATAGAAAGATTGATTAATTTGGATGAATCAACATAGAGAATGGGTGGAGTTCGATTAAATTTATGGAAGAGGGATTGAAGTTTGCAATGAATTAAGATCCTTTGTATTCTTGGTGGGTCTAAGCTGCCATGGCGTCACCCAACAAAAGGAACAATCTTTCTCACACAAAGCATTCATTCCATCACCCTTCTTAGTTTAGAGCTTAGACCCCACCACCACCTCCACCAACCCATGGACACAAGCACAGTACACCCACTCAAAGTGGACACAAATGGAGAACTCAACCAATGATCACTCTTTACAACATCTCATGTCCTTCATGAATTTATATACCCACAAAGGAAATTTAAAACCCATAAGTTACAACATAATCGGTCATGAGTGTTTCAATTGTTTGTGATACCTTAGGGTCTAGGGTTCATTAGAAAAAAAGTGAAAAAGTTAGTTCTATAAAATTAAATGTGTTTTTATGCCCAACTAATATTAGAAATCAAAATTATAATTTATATATATCTCCCTTTACTTAATTTAATAAAATATTTTTTAAATATAAATAATATTCATAATTAGTTCTAACAATAATATCATAACAAAAATAAAGTCCAACATTATTTATTTAAATATATATATATATATATATATATATATATATTAATTTTTACTCGTATGAGAGAATATTTATTTAATATATAATCATTATATTATCATAGACAAATTAATCTATTAGATAACGTTGAAAATTCAAAGAATTAAAAATTTGACTAGAAATACTTGTAGTATAATATCATGATTTGGATTAATTGTAATATTCTGATTTTAAGAATCTTTCTATATTAACCCATCATAAATATTCTTTAAATAAGATATAAAAGACTTGAAAAAAAATGTTAAATTCTATTTATGATTAGATTCTTTTTCCCTCAAAATACTTGTGGACAAGTGTACCACATGAGATTCATGGCATAAATTCATTAGTATTCATGATTATTTCCAAGTACCAAACAAAAGTTTTGCTTGAAAAGGAAAAGGGTTGGATCTTTTTTAAGTTTGTCTGGCATAAATCACAAGGGTTGTGTCTTTCACTAACAAAGTGGATAAGCTCGCAGCTATTTGAGTGGGTGCACTATAAAAACCTACACGTATATTATACACATCCTCATGCATCGCTATCGTTGTAACTACATACAACCTCCTATTATTAATACAAATCCTTCTTTGGATATGGTGGAACAGTACCCACAAATCTTTTATGCATCTCACTCATTTTTATCCTTCCACGTACAAGCAATTGGACCACAACATGTCTAATTTGTCTTTTTCCTCTTTCAGTTTGCATTAATGACTTGAGAGAGTATTAGAGAATATACCCCAAATAAGTTAGTGCACACGAAAGAAAGAAAGAAACTTGCAATGAGAAAAAATTAAAGACCAAAACAAGCATCGAAACAACTTTCAATCGACCATCATTGCTCAATGTATAAGAATCTCACGTGTTCATATATGATATATGCACTTCTTCTGGGATTCTATGGCCTGTCTTGTCTTGAAAGAACAATAATGCACGTAACGTATATATTATAGAGAAGAAGATTAAGTATTTATACAACAAAATAAAGATATTTTTAGCCATGAAAATACCAGGTCATCACTTGCTATATCTAGAAGAGTGTATCTATGACACCAAAATTTCACAATTTTGAAGAAACATTTTGACATTCGACGATTGTTTGTCTATTACATAGAAACATATTTAAATGGCACACCTAAGATTTTGAAAAACAGTTGTCGGTGTTCCCACATTGCAGATTATGCGGATCCAAATTTTAGACCTTGAGTAACCTGTCGCATATTTTAGACCGTATCGAAAAGATTTTCCAGATTTAGTTTGTAATTATATGCTCCGTTTTTCTTTTATTTAACTGCTTATGAATTTCACTTTAGAGAATATAATAAAGCATTTTAAATTGTGTTTATTAGGTGAAGTTTATTATATAGAGTATTTTTTTTCTATTTAAAGAATTCTCTGAGGATTGAAAATTCAGAAAAGAAATTTATTCTTGAACATTTTTCTACTAAAATAAATTCCATTTCGACAAATATATTAACCTCTCAACTGCTTGAAATTCAAATAAGGGTGAATAAACTCACTGAAAAGGGGTGAATTTCATAAAATTAACAGGCCAAACTTTTTTGTTCTTTTTGGTCTCCCACGGAAAGTAACATCATTTGCATATTTACTAATGTTAATTTTCTCTCTCACAATCTAGAAATGATATTTTCATGCATCTTTTTGATGATCATCTTGATCCACCAAGAATCCAGGTCTTTCACGTTTGAAGGTTTTCTTTGTCCAACCTAAGAGAAAAAGACACGTCTACCTGGAATCAGCCTGCACAAACATCTTTTCATCTAGTTTTTGGCCTTTTCTCACAACACAAAATTCAGCCCTCGTTCCCGAAAATTTTCTTTTCAATCATATTCTTCCCTTGTTTGTGGGGGACCTGATGAAATCATCAAAACAGGGTAATAAACAAATATATCAGGAAAAAGGTGCATCTTTTGCTATTTTTTGACCTCAACAACCAATGTGAAACGGGATTTGTTGATCCCAATAGATCCCCACCATTATTTCAGGGGAACAAAAAGAACTAATTGTGATTTTAATTTTTTTTTTGCATGGAAAATCAAGGCAAGCAGGGTCCAATGAAAAAAATACTGTGCTTAATTTGGGAGGCACACAGGAAAATGAAAAAGATAAGCCGCCAGTAACATGGCAATTCTAAGTCAAACAGCATCTAGCTCCTTCATTGCTGCAATAATAATTTCCTTTATATATTCAGACTCTTCTTACTCAGAAGCATAAAAAAGTCAAGGTGTGTGTTGCACATTCTCACGTTTTTTTGGCCCCTTACAATCAGCAGTCAGTAAAAGTTTTTTCTCTGTTTCTATGTGATTTTAACCTTCATTGAAATTAATTCAAAGTTCAAATTTGATTTTCCCTGTTTTATACAAATGAACTAAAACAGTGGTTCCCATATGATTCACAGGAATGGGCCATTCAAACGTGCGCTGATAGATACTTAAATCAACTGCATTCAAAGTCCTACGTTGAACTTAAATGGAGTTCTATCCCTTCGTGTTTCAAGGGTGTGGTGTGAAAAATGCATTTTATTTCGCCAAAAAATCTAGTTTCGATCCGACCTCACACTATATCACTCAATCATGCACATGGCTAAAAGGGTTTGGTTTTGACTAAGACCTAAATAATACATCTTATAATAATAATTTATGAAACAACAGGATAGAGTTATAATGAGGACTTTCCCATGTTTAAACCAAATTACTAATAATGAGGGCTTACCTCAAAATCACGATCCCCGAAAGTGTTATAAAATGGGAACCACACAAAACATTATTTTATACCCACCTCGATACTCGGACTAAATTTTCTTTGCTTCTTTCCATTAAGATAATATGTTTTATACATAACTCAGTACACTCTATAATGCATATCCCGCTATATTACATTGAATTGAAAAAATATTAAGAGAAGGAAATCGATATACTGCTAATTTTTCTTTTTTCTGCTGAAGAAATATTTCCAACTCTTTGTTGCAACATCTTATTTGATGACACTGCATGATTACATATGACTTCTCCGAGGGAAAGCGCTTTCATCTCCCAGTAGGAAAATGTCAAGATGAATAGGAGGAAATCACTGGATTGGAAAAACAATGAGTAATCCATCAATCAGTCTCCATAAAATTTGCGATTTTTTGGAGATGTTATCTTTCCTCCAATTCCGGCCCGACGGATCATCTCTGAAATATACTTAACGTCAGAAACAGTTTAAGATTAATTTTACCCACGATAAAAGGAAATGTCAGCAAACTTTAATGTACAAACATGTCCATCACGCTTCAAAAAGGAAATCTGGATTTGATTTCCTAGCAAATCTAAGGAAAGAAAATAAGCCCGACGATTTGTTCTCTAGCAATAAAGATGGTACTAGCTTTAACCGTTGGGCTTATGGCAATTTATTACTTGCATTAACTTTTATCATTTTTATTCATGCAAATATTTTTCCAAAATTTGTATTATTACTAAGGTTTATATTGAAACAATGAAGCATTTGGTTAGAAGAAAAATATAAACATACATAAATATAGGTTTGCTGTAAACAGATTGAAATGATTGATGAAAATAGTATAAATAAAAAATGGTTGAAGTTTTTAAAAATGATAATTCATCAATAATGTCTTAATAATTGATTCAGTTTGGTTAGTTGACCTAACAAATTAGTATTTATATAGTATTTTATTTTAAATAGTGTCTCTATAGTATTTTACATTAAATATTATGTCTCTATAATATTTTAGTAGTATAATTGTATAATTTAATATATCTCTTTCTTTTGATATTCTCTCAATACTTGTTTTTAGACCTCTTTCTGCTAAGAATGATATCAAAAACTTCAAGAATTGGGAAGAAGAAGAATGACTATGACAGTAATCGGTTTGTACGACAACATGCCAATGTTCGATAACAAGAACACGAATGGGTACGATAGTTGGTGTGTGAAAATGAATGTCATTTATGGTTTTAAAGAAGTTTTGGACGCAATTTTGAATGAATGAGTGACTATTGGAAAACCTCATCGAAGCGCAACGTGCGACGTTTCGAGAAGAAAAAAAACGTGATTGCAAAGTTATGTTCTACATTCATCAATGTGTTAAAAACAACTTTGGGAATATTTCGTTGGCAAACTCGGTAAAAGAAGCATGAGATATACTGATGCATAGTTACACAGGTAGAGAGAGCATTCATTCAGTATTTTTATTAGTGCAATTGTATAATTCAATATATCACTTTCTCTAGATACTCTCTCGAAACTTGTTTTTAGACCCCTTTCCGCTAACTGTGGTGTTAAGAGCTTCAAGAACCGGGAATAAGAAGAATGATAATGGCAGGAACTAGGTTGCATGACAACATGTTAGTGTTTGATAGCAAGAACCTGAATGGGTACAACAGTTGGTGTGTGAAGATGAAAGCTATTTTTGGTTTTGAAGAAGTCTTGGACATAGTTCTGAATGAATATGAGGCAACCTACCAGTATTCGATAACAAGAACCTGATGAGTATGATAGTTGGTGTGTGAAGATGAAGACCATTTTTGGTTTTCAAGAATTTTTAGACGTAGTTCTGAATGAATATGAGTGGTTACCTGAGAACCCCACCAACATGTAGCATGCGACGTTTTTTTTTGAGAGGAAAAGAAACGTGATTACAATGTTATGTTCTATATTCATCAGTATGTTGATGAAAACAACTTTGAGAAGATTTCGCTGACAAACTCGACAATAGAAACATGGTATATACTAGTGCATAATTACGCAGATGGAAAAAGGTTGAAGGTAGTGCGACTTCAAACCTTTTGTCGTCAGTATAAGTTGTTGTAGATGAAGGCGCAAGAAACCATCCAAGAATACTTTGTTAGATTATTGTCGATCACAAACTTGATGAAGTCTTGTGGTGAAAGTTGGAAAGAATGAGAACTGATGGAGAAGGTGTTAAGAACCTTTGATGCTAGGTTTGATATAATTTCTGTAGCTATTGAAGAGTCTAAGGATCTCGATTTGTTGAAACTTGATGAATTACATGGATCATTGGAGGCTCACGAATAATGGTTACGTAAGAGCGCGAAAGAAAACTTCAACATAGAACATGTGTTGTTGATGAAACAAAACTAAAAAAATGACGGAAATCGAGGAAAATCAAACAAGAGAGGCTAGGGAAAAAGAAGAGTTAGAAACAATGGTGGATGAAGCTCAGAAAGGAAACAAGAGAGTTCTTTACAATCAAGAGGTGGCAAAGATAGAAACTTACAATGGAGAGGTAATTGATCAGGCTCTAGTGCGAGTAAGAAGAATGTACAATGTTATAACTGTTACAAGTATGACCATTATGTTGTTGACTGTTGGAACAAAGAAGAAGAAGCGAATGTTGCACAAAAGGAAGATTCGGAGGATGAAGTGCTATTAATGGTGACTACAACGAAATTAGTGAAATCTTTTGGTGAATCTTAGTATTTGGATACTGGTTGTTCGAATTACATGTCATTTAAGAAAAGTTAGTTCGTTGATCTCGATGAGAGTGTTAGATCGAAAGTAAAATTTGTATATAATTCGATAGTGAGTTGTGAAGGAATGACAAATCTACAATAATTTCGGATTTACTCTATATTTTAGCCATAAACCACAACTTGTGGAGTATCGGTCAATTTCTTCAGAAAGTACATTTGATCGATTGGAGATCGAGGGAGCAAACGTTGAGAATCCTCGATAAGAATGAGACACCAATTTTGAAGGCACCTCTAAGTAAGAACAAAGTTTTCGTGTCGATATTCAAGTATCGAATAACCTGTTTGCAGCAGTAGTCTCTGATATCAATTGGTTGTGACATTTAAGGTATGATCATCTTGGTTTTGATAGTTTGAGTGAACTTGCAAAAATGGAGATGATGATTGGACTGCCTTGAGTCCAAAAGTGTAAAGACATATGTGAAAGTTGCATGATAAGTAAATAAGCCGGAAATCCCTTTAAGGTGCACATTAAGATCAGAAACAAGGATGTGTTGGAAGTTATTTACATCGATGTGTGCGGATCCTTCAATATTCCTTTACTATGTGGTATAAGATATTTTGTGACATTCATCAATAACTATAACAAGCAGATGTGGTGTATTTGCTTCAGAAGAAGTCAGAGATGTTTAGTCGTTTCATTGATTTTAAATCGATGGTCAAAAAACAGTGTGGTCGAGCTATTAAAGTGTTGAAATTAGACAGTGTGGAGAATACAAATGGTGATGACTTAGGTGATACAAAAATTAAAGGCAAAGATTGATTGATTTCTAGTATCGAAGGAGATGAAAATCAATTGATATCAAAAATCGAAGAAGACAGAAATCGATCGATTTCTGAAATCGAAGGGAAGAGAAATCAACCAATTAGATCGATTAAGACACCAGTGAGACTCAAATCAATATTGATAATACTGTCATAGCAACTTGATAGATGGTTGGAGAAACGAATGATCTTGTACACCTAGCATTGTATGTTGATGTTGAGCTTGAACTAGTTTGCTTTGAAGAAGCGATCATGAAAGAGGAATTGTTGATAATCAAGAAGAATAAAACATAGAAATTAACTTATATCCCAAAGAATCAAAGGCCAATTGGAGTAAAATGGGTGTTTAAGATGAAGTTAAAGTCAGACTTGTGGCGAAAGACTTTTTTTAGAGAGAAGGTTTAGACTACAAAGAAGTGTATGCACCTGTTGCCAGGATGGAGACGATAAGAATAGTTGTATTTCTCGCCAACTATAAAGGATGTCAGATGGATCAAATGGATGTTAAAATCTGCATTTTTGAATGGTGAATTGGAGGAAGAAGTTGGAGAAGAACAAAAGGTTCTTAGATTGAAAAAGACGTTGTATGACTTGAAACATACCCCAAGAACCTAAAACACTAAAATAAATGGTTGTTTTCGACAACATGGACTCTTGAAGTGTGAAGCCAAGTTTGGGTTTACTCTAAGATCGAAGAAGATGATGTGTTAATTGTTTGTTTATATGTCGATGATTTGTTGATTACAACCAGTAAAATTACTTCGATCAATAATTTTAAAAGGAGGATACAAGATCAGTTTGAGATAACCGATTTAGGGAAACTATCGTATTTTTTGGAAATGGAATTCATTGAAGGCAAACAAGGTGTTTTGATTCATCAAAATAAATATGCTAAAGAAGTGCTCAAGTTTAGAATGAGTGCATTACGACAATTACACCAGTCAAAACAAATGTGAAACTTGACAAAGATGAAGATGGGAAACCTATATTACATATAGATGGTTGATTGCTTAAGTGTTGGGTTGTTAAGTAGATTTATGAAAAAACCCAAAACATCTCATCTTGCATATGCTAATAGAGTTCTGAGATATATTAAAGGGATAATTGATTTTGGTATTCTATTACCAAATGCTACACATCAAAATGGAGAAAAGTTGGTTGGATATTTTGATTCTGACTGGGCTGGATATAAAGTTGGTTTCAAAAGTACATCAAGTTATGTATTCCTATTAAGAAAATCATTGACTTTATGGTAGTCGAAGTTACAACCTGTTGTGGTACTCTCTTCTTGTGAAGCTGAATACATGGTTGTTGCTTACACAACTTATCAAGCAGTATGGATCGAGAATTTGATTAATCGAGTCATTAAAGATCAAAGAAGGTTACGACACTAAAGATTATCAATAAGTTAACCATAAATTTAGTGAAAAATTCAATTCATCAAAGGAGAAGAAGAAACTCAAGTTTGAGCACTATGACATGAAGGAGTAGCTAGCGGACATTATGATAAAACCTTTGAATAATCGAAGGTTCAAAGAATTAAATAAAATTGAATATTAAATCGATTGTTGAGTTAAGGAGTTGTGTTAGATGATAATTGAACAATAATATTATACGATTGTTTCAGTTGGATTAATTAGCCTAACAAACATGTACCTCTTTTTCTTAATACTCTCTCAATACTTGTTTTTAGACCCCTTTCCCTTAACAAAGTTTAGATGGATAATTTCCAGAAGTAAAGGTTTAGGAGTAGCTAGCTAAAAGTGTATGATTGTAGTAACATGACATAAATAAGGATAAATGCTAAAGAAATGCAGTATTATTAGCAATTAGAGATCCATTCATGATGAAAGAAAAAAAATAGAATACAAATAAAAGTTTAACAGTAATTTGCTATAAGTGTAAAATTGAAGTGAATAATTTGTGACAGAAAAAAAAAAAAAAGATAAATGCTGAAGAAATGTTGTGTGTTAGTATTTACTGATCCATTTATAGTAATAGTATATTAATAGTTGGAAGGCTCGATGTTATGCACATCGAGGAGGAATATCGCAATATAATAACTTCCAAACGTGTACTCTAGCTAATTTAAATTGAAAATGTGTTTAGACCAAAACCTTTAGGCTAAAGTTAAAAAGGTCCTTGAACCCTCAATGAGAGTTCTATATGAACAAGCCCAAGTTTATTTGTGATGGACATTTTCAAGTTCTATTTAACATTTACAATTACAACAGGGGTACAGGTGGCCCAAGTTCAACCAAATTTAATCTATTTTTTTTATCTCCAATTAATTGGTTGAGTTTACCTTTTATTTATTTATTTAGAAACCAAATCCAACCCAACCCAATTATAATTGGATTGGATCTTCAGGTTGAATAATTTTATAAAAAAATATCACCTCTTTGAAAAAAAAATATCAAAATAAAAATTTTCAATGTTTCTTACCATTTATAAGGTAACAACAATACTTACAACACATACAAAACAATATTCATATGTTAAAACATGAAATTATTTTATTATAGTGAAATTAATAAAAAATATTTTTATTATACATTTATTTATTATATAGTTGGTTTGAATCAAGTGTGAAATTCATGAATTCATTCATTATCATCCCCAATTCTAATTCTAATTGGATATACTAAAAAAACCACCTAATGACCCAAGTTAACCGACAAATATATAAGAGGATTGGGTTGGATAGATTCGCAAGTTACACACCTAATTTGCAATGCCTGGCAAGATGCGATAGATTGCAGGGTTTGTAGCTCATATTGCGGCTTGACCAAATATCAAGAAAGGAATCTATACTCTTTTAAGATGATTCTATTATGTCTATACCATAAATATTTTATAATCATGGGGACCTGATATATATAAACCCCTAAGACTATCTACACGGAAAAAATATACCAGTCCTCATAGATGCAAAAAGGAGAAAGAAAAAAGTAAAATGCATTTTACAATTGTCAGGTAAAAGTGAAAACTTGCCTCGTTTCCACTCAAGCTCTTCAACCAATTCTTCTTTCCATTTCCTTTGCCTCTCAGAAAAGTTTGAGCTGCAGATAAAAAATATGTTAATCCAATTTCCGCACACCAGTACAATAAATAAAAGGACAAAACTAATATACAGCATCATAGGTGCTAATTTCTAATCAGATTTGGATTTTTATTTCAATAACGTGATTATATGCAGATTACTGAGGTAAAACACCGAATCTGACTGGAGAACTAACATTACCTACAGTACTGTCTGTATGTAAGTTTCTCCACAACATCACACCATACATACCTTACAATAGATGATTCTGGCTCAGCATCATGAAGAGTCTCCTTTGATTCATTAAGCTCAGGAGGCTGAATTTCTTGCAAAGGTTGACAATGAGCACCACTAAGCTTCGATCGGAATTTGGTATGACTCCCAGGGCTTGCTACAGTAGCACTTCCAGCCATTGAGAATCGTCTCCAAGCCTGACTAGGAGATCTGACTTTTGATGTTACATTTGGGTCACCGGAAATAACTTTACTCTTTGCAACTGCAATGGGAGCATGTGCAATGGCGGCATTTGATATGTTAAAGAATTCTTCATAAAGAGGTGTTTGGAGCTTCTTCAGTTCAAGGGCCTATGTAATTTATTAAAATAAAAAAATGTTTATAAATTTTAACAATGCTAGATTTTAAAGAAAAAGTAAAGAAAATAAAAAGGTAACAACCATTTTGTAATGCTATACTGAAAGTCAACAAATATATGATCTTGTATTAAAATAGAACCTTGGCATCAAGGAAGTCTCTAATTTTACATTCAGTAAGCTCTTCATCATCTTCAGCTCCTACAGGCTCACTTGAAAATGACAAGTTCGGTCTGCTTTTCTCTAAATATTGGGTTTCGTTAAAATTGCAAGGCCGGTCATCCACAGGTTTGTACAAAGGATTGCAACTCTATTCCAGCAAATTGATCAGCTCAGTAATAAAAAATTACTAATCATGAACGGAAACATCCAAAACAGTGAACAATAAAACACACTTGGCACCTTCGTATCAGAAGCTAATAGAGATTCAGATTTTGCTGATGAATCAATCAAAAAATCATCTTCATCCATTTGACACATGTCATCATCATTGTTGTCTGATCTCTGGTAGGAATCTGATTTATGATATACAGTTGAGAACCTTCTGCTATCTATCTGACAAACATCCTTCAAGCCTGTGCAAGTTGATCCCTGAACAGAATCCAAGCTACAGAACCAATATGGTATTCCTAGTTTATCCTCTATACCCATGAGAAGTTTCACAATGAACAAAAGATATACTTACAAAGTTCTAGAGTTCATCCCATATGTTGCCATCTTATTGCAAGAGTCCTGAGATAGGAAAAATAAATAGTTGATAAAAAGCAAGTTAATGTCTGTCTTGCATCATATATACTCACAACGTGGACACCAACCCTGAATGAACTGCGTAATATTGAATGAGATCCATGATAGTCATAGGTGATGAACGGATGCTGCAGATGATGAATAAGGTAGAATCACTACAGTAATTTTGAAGGATAAGCTAAATAAAATAAATTCAAATGAATGTTCAACAGTTGGTTAGTTGTTAGTTTACCTGTTATTTATTATTGTTCTAACATTCAGTTAACTTCAATTATTGGTGGCTTGATGTATATTTGAACCAAAACCATGTGTAATCATTCAGTTTATTTTTACTGAAACCAATTAACAAGAGCTTCACTTTCTCTGGGATCATGAGTTTTCTCTTGATTACAAAACCTTGATATGGAATTAGAGCACACCAAGGAAAAAAATGGTTGTCTTTGGAAATTCAAGACTAAGTTCATGGCGGACTGTGACCGTGACGACAATGGAACTACACTATTTTTGGAAAATTTTGGTACAGATAACAGTGGGTCTACCAAGTAGATATAGTTAGGGTTTACACTCTAGATACTATGTTAAAGTAAATGGCAGAGAGATATATGAATACAATCCCTATATGTATCATACACAACAGAAGAATAAATAAATATATATATATATATATATATATATATATATATATATATATATATATATCATGATTAAAAAAGAGATGGATTTGAACTCATATATTTAGCTATTTCTAACAGTAGTTAAAGGCTACACACAACAAGTTGGTATTGGATTTTACCAAAACCTTCTAGCTAGTGGCTAAATTAACCATTGTCAAAATTTTATTCTCCATTACAGCACAAAAAAGTTGACCTATGTTGCAACTGTACACCCATTGATAGAAATATGAAGAATATTTGGCGATATCATATTAGAATATTTTAGACTATTCTAGATTATCTCTCTTGGGATTTATAATTTTCATATTTTATGATTTGTTTCCTTATTTAATTAGGATCTTGTAGTTATAAGGATATCTAATTAGAATCTAATTAAGGAAGAAAATCTCCTATTATTGTTTGTATTTATTACAGTTAGCCTATATAAATGGACTCTGTCAAATGGTTCAGACACATGGCTTCGGCATCTGTTCCATCTGTTTATTCACTCAACGTAGGAGGTTCACTAATTTTCTGGAAAGAAGAAGGCCACAGTAGCCAAATCTTCAGCAGAGACAGTACTAATCTCTTGCATGCTTAACCACTGACCTCCTTTGGTGTTATGAGAATAAATCTGCAATTCAACTTGCCACTAATTCCACTGCCAATGAAAGAACCAAACAACTACTAGACATTGATTGTCATTTTATCGGGCAACATATCAATTCTGGATTTCTTAATCTTGTCTACTTATCTTCTCAACAACAGCTAGCGGGCGTCACAAGCCCTCGCTAGTGTCTGGTGTCATGAACTCATAGGCAAGTTGAGAATTCTGAATCTTGATCTCCCAACATGAAGGAGAGTTTCACAGTTAGTTAGTTGTTAGCTAAACTATTTGTTATAAGTATCATTGTTACCCCATTCAGTAATTAGCAGCTAGAAGTATATTTGAACCAAAACCATATGTATTCGCCCTCCCTAGTGTCTGGTTTCATGAACTCATAGGCAAGTTGAGAATTCTGAATCTTGATCTCCCAACATGAAGGAGAGTTTCACAGTTAGTTAGTTTTTAGCTAAACTATTTGTTATAAGTATCATTGTTACCCCATTCAGTAATTAGCAGCTAGAAGTATATTTGAACCAAAACCATATGTATTTGCCCTCCCTAGTGTCTGGTTTCATGAACTCATAGGCAAGTTGAGAATTCTGAATCTTGATCTCCCAACATGAGGGGGAGTTTCACTGTTAGTTAGTTGTTAGCTAAACTATTAGTTATAAGTATCATTGTCATCCCATTCAGTAACTTCGGTAATTAGCAGCTAGAAGTATATTTGAACCAAAACTATATGTATTCGCACTAATTCAGTTGAGTTCTCTCTCAATTACAAAGTACAAGTTAGGGGAAGAATTAAAAAATCTGCAAAATACCTGTAACAATTCTGATGCGGAAGGCCTTAAATCTGGCTCCCTGTCACCACAAATTGATGCATAGTGATTAAAATACAATCCATCACAAATACATTAGTATTCTCAACCTAAAAGTCAAGCTGAATCACTAGCCTTTTCTAAAACAAATGTAGTCATAATGAAATAGAGTCATCATAAAGAAATGGTAAAAGCATTATATGTATGTACTTGTGGAAGCATTTCAGCAAAAAGTCCTTTGCCTCAGGAGACAGATGTTCAGGTATGGGTGGATGAGATTTAGTTGTCCCAATATAGAAAATAGCTGAAACCTAAGAAAAAGAGAAGTTTAAGTGAAAATATGTCATTGAACCAACAAATGCATATATATGCAGTCACACACGCTGATATCCACTAATGAAAGTCGATGATAAAATTAGATTACTGTGTTAGGTGAGGCTTTCATGTACCTCCTGGGGATACTGTTGACTCCATGGAGGCTTTCCCGTGGCCATCTCTATCACAGTGCATGCAACACTCCATATATCAGTGGAGCTAAAAAATCACAAGTTAGATTCTGTCGCAAAGAATGGCTAATATCTCTAATCAAATCCAATGACCAAAATGACAGAAAATAGGCTTATACTGAAGTTCATGAGAATTTATAACACATTATTCCTTTTGTTGCTCAGTTCAGATTTTTTTCATAAATTAAACAAGCATAATGAAACTTATTTCCATAATCTGCATTAGAAGTTTGACTCTTGTCTGTTTACCAGGCTTTCACCGGACCTTTAGAATGCCTTTGCAATGGCTGAAATCCACATGCTTCATAAACAAAGAAATATTGACTATATGATTTAAAATTCACAATTTTTTTCTCAAGTTCATTTCCAACAAAATGAAAAGAAAAAAAAATCTAAATACATACTTCATGAGGCAGGAACAATTTTAAAAAACTCAAACAATTACATGTTGAAGCTTAGTCCAGAATGCAGATCCTTAAATAGGTTACGTGCTGATAGGAGGTGGGAAGTGGAGTTGGATGTTGATAATCAAGAATGAACCATTAAGAAGCAAGTTAAGGCCTGCATCAGCCTTCTAGAAAAGCATTTGTTTCCTTGGACATCAGCTTACATAGCAAATCTCAAAGGAATTAATGTGAACTAATCACAATTAAAATGATTAGATATTAGTAAATGAATGTCATGCTCTTATTAATATGAAAACAGAGATAGGAGTCCCAAATTGAGTATAATAAGCTACTTGATGTGGCACTTAGGCCTTGAAGTTCTCCCACATATTGGACTAGTCCTTCGGGATAGATTCTCCACTTGTGCTTAAATTCTAAAAATTGGTGCTTTCATTGAGAGTTAGACTCACGGAAGGGCTACCTATAGGCTGGCTTTAGGTATAAATAGTGAAGCTGTCAAGAGAAAAGGGAGTCAAATTTGGTCCACAGGTTGCTTCTACAAGAACTCATTGATTGAGCTAAAACAGGAAATGAATCCATTATAGATAAGTTTTCGAAAAGGAAAAAAAAAAGATTATACAGCAAATATTCAGTGAAAAAAAAATGACAAGCTTATCTGTTAGACAGTACTAACATTATTCACAATTAAAAAATTAGTTCAGTAATTCACCATTGAAATTTCAATTACATAACCTTTCAAGTTAGTTACAGCAAATATTCAGTGAAAAAAAAATGACAAGCTTATCTGTTAGACAGTACTAACATTATTCACAATTAAAAAATTAGTTCAGTAATTCACCATTGAAATTTCAATTACATAACCTTTCAAGTTTCCTGGTAAATGAATTAAAGTTTGTAACTGCAGTGACATAAGAGTGGTGCAGCCTTACTATGAATATGAATACAATCTGAGAATTTCTCTATAACAACCATGTCAAAATAGATAAATCTTTCCTTCCTGTCCATATCTTACAAAACTATTTCCTTCGGAAACATTTATTGTGACAAATAAACCTTCAAAGATACTTGACTGTGCTATGATGGTCATTTTTTTAGTGTTAGTCAGACACTTACATCGTATGTCCTGTTTGTAGAATAACTTCAGGGGACATCCAATGTGGTGTGCCCTTCATTGATTTTGCACCATTGATGGTAGCCTATATCAATCCACAAAATTCAGACGTCATGGCCCGAAACAAGTTACCCAGAAACTCATGAGATCATAATGAACTAATAACATCAACAGTATCTTACCAGTTCAACAACTTTCTTGGATGCACCAAAGTCTGCAAGTTTAATGCACCCTTTGTTATCAACTAGAATGTTGGCTCCCTATATCCAACAAGCATTGACCAAAATGATAAAGACAGGCACCAAAGCACATAATCTTTTAAAAGTAAAAGTAAAAGAACGGTACCTTAATATCTCTGTGAATAATCCCATTATTATGAAGGTATTCAAGGCCCAGTAAAAGCTGTTTTGTATACATTCTTATAACCTGATAAAAAATTGAACATTGAGCAACAAAAGAACCAAAACGCGAGAAATTCTATATGTGCTTCATAAAGTAATAAACGAATATCACTTACGGATTCAGGGAAGGATCCGAATTTCCCCAAAAGTGATGAGATAGAACCACCAGGTACAAACTCCAGCAGAATATTTAAGGAATTCTCCTCTCGGGCAGTTCCCAAGTATCTCTATGATGATAAATAAATAACAAACAATATGGAGGGGAAAAAGCACTTATTACATCATTATAAACACCAAGGAATAAAAAAATATTCTGACTCGCATAATAAGACCACACTCACAACAATATTTGGATGCTTAAGATTCTTGAGAAGCTTGACTTCTTCTTCGAGCTCCCGAATATTAGCCTGACTCAACGAGGCAGAAAGAGATTTTCCACATCATCAATCATCACGTAGAACATCAACCAGCTTACACAAAACAAGAGCAGTATTGCTTTACACACAGGATGTGAAGTGACACATTACCACTCATCCACATAATGACCACTAGAAACACTTCCACGAAGCTCAACATGTAAACCTATAGCACAATACCAGTACTAAAATCACGTAAAAGTGAAACCACATATTTACCTGTGTATTCCCCTTGTAAGCGCTACCAGGCGCGATTAAAACCTAACAGAAAGCCATAAATTAAACAATTGGAACGTGATCAAAGACAATTAAAGCAAAAAAAAAAGTGACCAAATAGAACTAGACCTGTTTGATGGCAATAAGCTCCCCGGAATCGAGGTTCATTCCCATGTAGACGTGACCAAAGGCGCCCGAACCGATCAACTGGCCCTTGCGCCACCGTATGGGAGGAGGAGGAGGAGGAGGTTTGAATGCGATTCGCGACTTGCGAATGGCGGAGCCAAGCTTGTCGGCGATTCCCGCAAAAGGAGCATCGACGCCGCCTGGTCGGAGAACAAGGGAGCGGCGAAGAGAGCCCAAAAAGTCTTCCATGTTGTGATTGCGGCTAGGGTTTGGTGAGGGTGGCGTTGTTTGTGTAAGTGCGGAATGCAAAATTTGAAGGAAGGAAGGAAGGGGATGATGAGTTTTTCAAAATAATGGTGGTTCGCTGCTGGACACTGTATCCCAACGGTTATCTTCTTTTGACTTTTTAGTGGCCCCATCCCGTCACACAAATGTTATCTCCGTAATTTCAATGCTTTATGATCCACTATTTTAAAGTTCCACTTTTATGTTCCGTGCTTTTAATTTATTTTAAAAAATGCCTGTAGATTGTACACTACAAGTGAATCTTTCACTAATTTAAGTGAATCTAATAAGATTTTTTTCTACTAACCATTCTTTTATGTTTCCTTCCCTAAACTCTTTACCAAATTTATTTTATAAAAACTCTTTTTACCCTTTGAAAAATTAATTATATTTGAAAAAAATACGAAATGAAAAAGTGTTTAATAAATATGCTTAATGTTCTTTAATAGAAAAGATTTTGGAAAAAATTATCATAATGGTCATTGTAGATGAATTTTACATTGGTCGCATTTTTTTCAATAAAATATATTTTAATTTTTTTCATCTTTAATATATGTTTATTTTTATTCATTTTGTAATAAATTTTTTCTTGTACTCAAAATTTGATTTTTAATTTATTTTATCGTTACACTGTAACCTAATATTTCACTTTATTATGAAACCACGAGATAATTTATTTTCAGAAACTAGAAGAAAATTTTGAAATGTTTTAAGTTTCAGCAGAAAAAATCATAATATTTTAAAAAAATAACATAATAGAGAAAAAATATTTTCAAATCGGGACACGTGTTTTTTTTAATTATAAGTTGAGAAAAAAATCGATTAGAACAAAATTCAAAATCTATTGCAAGAATTGAGAACATGTTTAAGTCATATTTAAAAAATATAAAATTAACAGAGTCTCAAGTAAATTTTTTTTTATTTAAATTCATAAAAACAATTTAAAGATAAAACAAAATATCGTTACTCTTATTTTTAGGTTGGATAAAATGAGTAAAATATATAAATATAAAATCAAATATAATGAACTAACATGGTTATTTTCAAATGAAATTTGGGTCTAAGTGGTTAAGTGAGAAATTGAAGTGGTTAGAAAACAAAATTTAGGCAAAATTAATTATCTTCGAAAGTTTTCTTAATAAACCATAACACAATATATATATATATATATATATATATATATATAAAAGAACAAGACTGCAAGAAAAAAAAAATGTAGTGTGAAAAGTGATAAATAAAAAAATAAGAAATAAATATTATTTTATGATAAGGAAAATAATTTAAAAAAATATCACTTTCCATTTTAATAAATATATTTCCTTTCTCTTAATATATATAAGTGGAAAATAAAAAAGATGTTATTCACTATTCAAATAAATAATTGTTATTTTCATGTTAAATAATTATATATATATATATATATATATATATATATATATTAATACAACATTATTTAATGAATTTAATTTAAAATAATTTTTGAAAAATATTATAATAAAAATATTTTATAATTATATATCAAAAGGATATACTACATGACTTTACAAAATTATTTTTATTAATAATAAATCAAATAATAATTATATAATAATTTTATAATTAAATAAATATTTAATTTTAATTTAATTTAATTATATTATTTTTTAAAATAAATATTTTCTTTTTATGTTACGAGTAAAAAAATTTATTTTATTTTACTTTCTTTTCTTGTTATTTCATTTTTACCCGACAAAAGTAAGTAGTTTTTTTAATGTTCACTTTAACGAAAATAGATTTTTTAATTTTTTAAAAGCACTTAACTAATGTAAAGTTAGAAGTTATGAAGTGATTTGATACACAAAATACAAATTATATTTGAACATAAATTTCAGTTAGGCTTATTAAATGTTTGAGAGATTATTTTAAAAAAATAAAATAAAAGTCATATATGATTCAACGAAGAGAACAACTGGGAATAAAAAATTTCGTCAAAAAAAAAAGAAAAAAGAATTCGAATTACGACAAAAGATTTTAACATATTTTTATCCGTATCAAATCAACCCTTTTTTTCCTTGCATAATTAGATACCTTTTATTAAACAAGCATTTGTAGTAAAAAGAATACAAAAACAAAATAAACTTTGTATAAGTTAAAATTAATTTGTTTTTATGTTGGGAAAATAAAATAAACTCATCTAAGAATCTGAAATTGATTTGTGTATAATTTAAAATGAGTTTCTGATTGATCTAAACAAAATAATTTGTAATTAATTTATAAATTAATAAGTTTTAATTTATAATAGTGTTTTATTTCATTTTTTAATTTTCTACCGGTGTTTATTTCATTTTTAAATTTTCTACTTATCCCTTTTCCTTATTAGCTGTATTATGTCAAGTAACAGAAGCAAAGCAACGAGAAATCGGCCAAACCTTTTTGCTCCTAACTCAAGCGTGAAGGTTGAAAACTTAAAATTTCTATTCAATTCTGCCCAATCCTTACCAAATTACTGTCCTTTAACTTATACCCTTCCTAGTTCACTTCATGGGTGTCTTTGAAGCTCCAAAAGACAGCACCTTTTCTTTTATATCCTTCAAATCCCAATATCCTATTGTCCAACAAGTCTAAAGATTGTGTCTTGTTACTCTATTCCCCTTGCGTTCATTTGTTTGTTTGTTTTTTGGGATTGCTGAGAAAAGAAGATGCAACTTGATCTGGAATCATTGTCAGAAGCTACTTCTGGTGCCATTGGATCACTAGTTAGTACCACCGTCTTGTACCCTCTTGATACTTGCAAGACCAAATATCAAGCTGAAGTTCAAGCTCACCATCAGCGAAAATACAAGTTCCATTCTTCACCCTTTTAACATTTTCGGGGTCCTCCTTATTTATGTTCTAACGTATATGTAATTGTTGTAGTTTATGGGGTGGGTTAGCGGGTGCAAGTGAAAATTTTAGTAGCGTGATTTGATTACTTCTGTCCAATTCATTATTTGTAAGAGCGTTTTTATCTAGATCATAAGCCAAAATTAAACAGATTAGGTTAAGTTTGTGTTTGGATTATAGAGCCCTTTTATTTGGTAACACGAAGCAAATAAAGCTGGAAATTGTGGATTCCATGGAAAGCTGGTCATTGCTTCCACTAGAAAATCTGGTTCAACGTAGAAAGCCAAATGATAATAATAACTTTCAATAGCCAAAATTGCAGGTGTTCGTTTGCTTTTATCTTGGTGTTTTCTACCCAGGAAAGATAAACTAGGAAGCAGGAAGTTTATTGTGAGTTGTGCTTATATTTGATTTTGCTGATGTGTATTGTGTAGGAGTATTTCTGATGTTTTCTGGGAAGCAATTGCTACCCGCCAGGTGCTTTCACTATACCAAGGCCTTGGGACAAAAAACGTCCAATCCTTCATTTCATCGTTCATTTATTTCTATGGATACAGCTACTTTAAGAAGCTGTATTTGAAAAAAACTGGAAATAAGTCCATTGGAACAGCAGCAAATTTGATTGTTGCCACAGCTGCTGGAGTCAGTACAATAGTCATAACACAGGCAAGCATAATTGTAATTCTGTTTGGGAGAAAGTTTCTTAGATGTGTTGTGCTTTTCTGTTATATGCCAACTGAGGGAGCGTTTCTTAAATTAGCATGGAATGAATTTTTTTTTTCTGAGGGTAATTATTCTGTTGACATAACAATTATAGCTAAGATCAATGGTAGGCATTTGCCGTATGTGATCAACAAAGAGTCACATAGGCTTAGCAGTTGTGTTGGGGATTCGGGTAGGTTTCTTGGTTCATGTCATAGCAAGGACATTATCCACCCATAAAAGAAAGGAATACCATCAACTAATGCAGTGTTCTCTCAAGTAATTTGTTACAGAATAATATTTGCAAAAGAAACAAACTGATTCCTAATTAATTTATGTACTGTTCAAACTCAACCGTATCCTTCTTGTTTTGCTCTCAATCTTCATTAGTTTGTGCTTGTATTTTACAGCCTTTAGATACAGCATCCTCGAGGATGCAGACAAGTGAATTTGGAAAATCCAAGGGATTCTGGAAGACCCTTTCAGAGGGTACATGGAGTGAAGCATATGACGGACTTGGCATTTCCATTCTTTTAACAACAAATCCATCTATTCAGGTATCACTTTTAGGATGCATTTGTTCAAATGAAACCTAGAGAGGAACTCTATTTGCAGAGTTGAGGATTACCTAACTCAGACATTCCCCCCAACAGTATACTGCATACGATCAGCTGAAACAGAGAATATTAAAGGGCAAGATAAGCAATAGAACAGGTACAAAGTCATCCCCGGAATCACTCTCTGCATTTTCTGCTTTCATGCTTGGTGCAGTTTCAAAATGTGCAGCTACCTGCTTGACATACCCAGCTATCAGGTGAATGATCAATTTAAATTAGTTTCCCCAAGATTTGTTACATCCCTTACTGATTCTGGTGAATATTATGCAAAAGAAGAAAGAAAACAATTTTATTTTATGCTGATCTATTATGGTCTCTTGAAATGTATCTGGCAGATACCCTTAGTTAGTTAACTAGTTAAATTATTTAGTTGACTAGGTTAGCTGGTGGATGAAATAAAGCATGCTACAGATACATAGGAAGAGGGTTGAGAGGAGAGTTGGTATTGTGGCATGGAGAGTCTTGAACCTCTCAAATATCCGAGGAATTTGTGCATTATTTTTCTTGATCAATAACATTACTTTCTCAGGGGCTTAATCTAAACCAGTTTCTACCAGTCTCGTGATAAAATAAACTAATGTGACACAATAGCATTTTTTCTGTTTATGCTAAGCTCTGGACTTGCTAATCAAAGTTTTTTTTTTAATTGTGGATAGGTGTAAGGTCATGATTCAGGCTGCCGAATCACATGATGATAAGAGTACACAAGCTGAGAGGAAGGCACAGAGGACAATCTCTGGAGCACTCTATACTATTTGGAAAAGAGAAGGTATATTGGGATTTTTCAAAGGATTGCAGGCGCAGATATTGAAAACTGTTCTCAGCGCTGCATTGCTTCTGATGGTTAAGGAGAAGATCGCAAAGTCCACATGGATTCTAATGCTCATGATTGGAAGATACCTGTCTGTGAATTCCCCCAAATTGAAGGCAGTTTAAATTTGATAAGTAATTCTTAAAACAACTTTTCATCCTAGAATGTGCTAAAATTTACTTTGTTTACCATGGAGGAAAATAATGCGAGAAGTGAGTGTTGCAGGCAGTTTAGACTCTCTCTCTGAATAAGGAATGCCAAAATAGAAATTCAGATCAATGGAGTCTGACCATCTAATATGCATTTTCTCTCATAATACCTTAGCGTCAAAGTAGATTTGTTAACCATTAGCCTGTTTTCTGTTAGTCCCACCCATATTAGCATGTATCATTTGGTAGATACCAAGCTCTCAAAAATGATATTATTGATTATAATGGCAATAATAAGATAACAATCCTTTGGGAACAGTGCTTTCTTTCTCCTATTTTTCTCTAGCATTCTATAGAATTACAATACAATACCAAAACAACAGTTACACAAGGGCCTGTCAATTTCCCTCTACAAAAGCAGTCATCTTCATTAAGCTCACCCAGATACAAGCAATACATTTGGTTGGTAACAAAATTTCAACTTTTCATAACAGGAAAAAGTAACCAGCTAAGTAGAGCACTGAGCAATAAAGCAATCCAGATTTGGTAATCAAATTGGCACCATTAGAACTATAGGGAGAAAAGGTTCCTGCAGGAGTGTTTGTAGTCAAGACAACAACAATCCAGTTATCTTCTGAACCAATGCCAATTCCTGTATATCTTGTGTCATTGAGACTATCTGAGTAGAGAGATTTCGTGAAATTAGTAAGGACAAGACTTGGAACCAGACCAGGAACACAAACAGGCATTACATTCCCATCCCTTGTGTTGGAAATAGCCAAGTGACACTTTGATAAGAGGTCTGGATAGTTGGAAAACTGAGGCTCAGTGCCAGGTACGGTGTTAGCACCTGTGGTATTTGTGCAGGGTTGTTTCTTGAATTGGTCGGCTATTTTATCAGCAAGGCAATCTGCATTGTCATTCCTTGTTAGAGCTTTCAAGTTTAATGATGCTCGATACTTGTTGATACCCTGATAAAGATTGTCTCCCTCATCTGCAGGAGAATGTTAAGGTAAGACAAGTGCGGGTTCAACATATTAACTTCAATCGTATGCACTTATCGTGAATGTGAATATGGATATAAGTTACAAAACTTTTACTCTAGAGATTTTAAAATTAAGGAGAGCTCATGTATGCTTTAATAACGATGAAGTTGTGGTGAAGAGTGTACCATCGCACCCTTTTACTTATACTTGGCCAAGCATGATATTGTCTGCGGTGCATTCAAATTCAAATTTTGAATTTTACAATCGTCTATTCTCAAAGAAGGTTTAAGTTGAGTGACTTGAAGCGCATTTTATCCTAAAATCTATTTCCACACTACATATGAAATGGTTTAAGAAATTAATATCCCCAAACAAACAATCTATAGCCTCCCTTTAGACCCAGTAATCCCAGATCAATCTGTCTCCTAATCAGATCTAGCTTGCCTAGGCCATTGAGAAACACGAGAAAGATAAGCACAACACATATGACTAAGTAGTACCCAGAAAGCAGAAAAAACATAAACTCAGTTAAAAGAGAGCAATAATGAACATTAGAGGGAGAGCTTATTATTAAAATCATTAAGAAAAATGTTCATACAATAATGAGCATTAGCAGATTCAAGTGAGAGCAAGTTGTACTACTCACCATCGTCACATTTAACTGGACGGTTCATCAAGAGAATCACAAGGAAAGAAAGGAGAAGCCAAAAACAGAGAGAGAACTTGGGCAGCACCATCCTTCGCTGTTTAGTGTTAGATGTTGATGAAGACTCCTCCTATAGCAAAAAAAGTTGCCACTTTCGGATCCTATATGAGGGGTTCAATTCAAACACAAGTTTCCTTGTGCAGGGTGCTTTACTGTTTCTTCAAGCATAAGTTAGAAGCTGTAGACATCACACTAACAGTGAGTAAGACATCGCAACGGTAAGGAAAATGGTTGCTCGTGTTTCAGTATCAGATTCAAAAGTGTTTTTGTCCTTTTTTTTCCATGCATGGCTTCGTGCATGTTTCTCATATAGATGATGGTACTTCCTTTACTTGGAAGAATATTTCTTATGCAACTTAATCGCAGTAACTTTGTATTATCATCTCCGATTAAGGAAGTAATATGTACGTATAAGTGTCTATCTAAAACCAATTTGGTATACCCAATAAATTTGGACTGGGTAGTATGATGGTGGGTCATCATCTGTACAGTATTTGTAATATTACAAGTAATCAATCATTGTCTTCTTCTATTTTCTTATAACTTACTAATAGCAGTAGTTATCAGTAATAACTTCTCACCCATTTTTCACATCCTTAATCCTCACCTGTTCTTAACACCTCATTATATCTTCCTTTTTCTCCCTTTTTTTCCAACAATCTCCCTTTTGACGATGAAACAAATCCATGTGTCCGGTTACTATATATATATCAATGGAAACATAGGCATTGTGATACATTCATGTACATATTCTTTTTGCGATAAAAAAAAGTTACCACAATTCGAAAGATAATTATCATAATAAAAAATTTACTACAATATTAAAGAATAGTTTTATAAGAAAATTGTGTACCAATTAGTAGTTATAGATGTGTTGCCTTCACAATAAAATATAGTCATACAAGTTATAAAGTAAAATTGTAATAAAATTGCATACACTAAAGAACCGTTATCAAAGTGTATCATTATTTTTATTAAATAAAATTGTTTTCTATTATGCGATATGTGAATAAAAAAAAAACGGAAACACTTCTATGACAATGACGTTGTGTTATAAAAAATAGAAAGAAAATTTTTAGTTCACATACAAATATTAAAAGAAAAATATAATTGGAAAAAAGAAAAACGTCAATCCACTTGTATTATTATTTTAACAGAAATATTTTATCCAAATAATTATATTGAAGGTTTATTAAATATTCATAATGATAATAATAGGTGAACAATATTATTATTGAAAATAATATTAATAACAAGTTTATAAATTATGTTATTCTATATAATAGAGATATATTTTTTAAAAGAAATATTCATATATTAACTTAGTCGAATTTCTCCATTTTTTCCATTCACCAAAGCTCGAACCTAATCAACAAAGCTCAGACAAGGTTGTTTGTAATCAAGACTGATTGACTTGAGATATTTATATTGTTTTTGTTATATTTATTTTTTTGTAAAAATATTTGGTGTTCACCGTGAGACTTAGTGAAATACAAATCAGGCGATCTTGTGTATTGATTATCTTAATGCGTTAAGATGAATGCAGAATATATCATCAATTCTTTAAAACTCTACATGGAGGAAACACTACAAGAAAAATCACTTTTAGCGACCGAAAAAATCGGTCGCTAATGGCCAAAATTCGGTCGCTATTCTGTTAGCGACCGAAATTAGCGACCGAAATGGTTGGTCGCAAAAGGGTAAGTCGCTAAGTTGTTAGCGACTAGGTTTATTTCGGTCGCTAAATAGCGACCGATCACGTGATCGCTAAAGTGGTCGCTAAATAATTTGGTCACTTATTCATTGGAGACCAAAATAGCGACCGAATTAAGTGGTCGCTAAATCGGTCACTAAATCAGTGGTAAAGTTTTAAAAAATAGCGACCAATATATTCGATCAGCTAATATATTAATATAATTATTTAAATAATAATTAAAATCGGTCAGCTAAATAGCGATCGATTTAAATCGATTGCTAAATCAATGACAAAGGTAAAAAAATAGCGATCGATTTAAATCGGTCACTAAATCAATGAAAAAGTTAAAAAAATAGCGATCGATTTAAATCGATCGCTAAATCAATAACAAATTTAATTATTTTTATTTATTTACATTTTTATTATATTTATTATTTATTTTCCCTACCTCTTAATTATATTATATTTTTACTTATTTAAGTTTTTATTTATATTTATTTCTCCTATCTCTTAATTATATTATATTTTTTAGAAGTTTAACTTATTATTAGGTGATTTATTGTCATTGTCGAGGATTCGACATCGGTACCTTAGAGTTGGAGAGTTGAAACTCCAACCATCTGAGCTACTTAGGATCTTTTAATAATAACTTACAAATAAATTATATTTATATACAAATAAATGTATATCAGTATAAATATATAAATATAAAATCTATAAATAAAAATATATTTATATATTTTAATATATATTTAAATATTGATATATTTATATATTGATATATTTATATCTTTATATCTTTATATTTTTACATATATTTATATTTTTATATATTTATATCTTCATATTTTTACATATATTTATATCTTTTCATATTTATATATAAAGATATTAGTTTTCTATATAAATAATATTATAATATAGTATATTATACTATTAGTATAGTATACAAATAATATATTAGTATAGTATAGTATACAAATTATTAATTTTGTAATTTATATACAATGAAAATAATATAATGGTATATTAGTATAGGATAGTATATTTGTATTCTAATTTTTAATTAAATTAAAATTATGCTAATAATGTATATTAATATATGAGGGGATAATATTGATATATTGATATATTTGTATATATATATATATATATATATATATATTTATATATTTATATATTTATATATTTATATATTTATATATTTATATATTTATATATTTATATATTTATATATTTATATATTTATATATTTATATATTTATATATTTATATATTTATATATTTATATATTTATATATTTATATATTTATATATTTATATATATTTATATATTTATATATTTATATATTTATATATTTATATATATTTATATATTTATATATTTATATATTAATATATTTATATATTAATATATTTATATATTAATATTTTGATATATTTATATATTGATATATTGATATATTTATTTATATCCTTATACATTTATATCTTTATATATATTTATATATTTGAAAAAAAATATTAAATTTTAAAAATAATATTATATTTTTAAAAATAAATATTAGAAAAAGATTTAAAAATATATATAAATTATATTTACATGTACAAAATATTAAAGATATATGTTTATATCTTTACATATTTATATATATTTATATGTTTATATTTTTACATATATTTATATCTTTCCATATTTATATATTTATATATAAAGATATTAGTTTTGTATACAAATAATATTATAATATAGTATATTATACTATTAGTATAGTATACAAATAATATGTTAGTATAGTATAGTATACAAATTATTAATTTTATAATTTATATACAATGAAAATAATATAATGGTATATTAGTATAGTATATTTGTATTCTAATTTTAAATTAAACTAAAATTACGCTAAATGTATAATAATATATGAGAGGATAATAAATTTAATCCAATTACTTTTATAAATATATAAATATAAAATCTATAAAATATTAAAAATGATATTATATTTTTAAAAACAAATATTAGAAAAAGGTTTAAAAACATGTATAAATTATATTTATATGTCCAAAATATTAAAGATATCCACATTTAAAACAATATTAAAAAATATTAATAATAAATTTAATTCTTTAAATTTAGTATTTAGAAACTAAAATTATAGTTTCTCTGTTTTTAAAAAATTAAAATAACTATTTAAAAATAAAAATCAAAACTAGTATTATCTTAAATTTATTAAAAGTGTAATTAAATCTCTATTTTCTTAATTTTATTTGTTTCAAACATCTCAATTCTACATTTTTGTAAGTTCTATCATTATATTATCATCCTCATCTCCTCCCATGTTCTACTTTATCTTTACAATAGTCAATATTCTTAACTAATTTATATTTTTATTTATAATTTTTTAGTATATATTTGAAATTAATCAATTCTAATCTATTATTTGAAAAACTAATCAATTCTAATCAATAATTTATAAAACTAATCGATTATAATTAATTATTTGAAAAAATTATCAAATATGATCGATCATTTCAAAAATCTAATCGATCAGAGCAAAAAATCGCTCGAGCGAGACTAGAGTCGCTCAAGCGAAATACTAACTCGAGAATGCCAATTTTGTGCAGGGGCGTTTCGCTCGAGCGATTTTATTTTCAGCTTAGCGAATAAGACTTCTAATAGCGGTTAACGCTTAACAGCTATCTAAAATATGATTAAGATAGCGGTTAACCCATAACAGCTATCTAAAATACATTTTAGATAGCGGTTAACCTCTAACCGCTATTATATCCTCTCAATTATGATCGATCATTTCAAGGTATGATCGATCAGAATCTTATTTCAGCTCGAGCGAAAGTACTATCGCTCAAGCGAAATACAACCCGAGAATTCACAATCTTAAAATATTTTTTTGAATATTATGTTTTTAAATTTGCTATTAGAGAAAACCTTTCAGAATTCAAAATGTTAAATAGTTTTAAATATTAAAATTAACTTTATCAAAAATTAGGAAAAAAAATTTATCCAAAAGAGTTCAAAAATGTATAAGAGTATTCTCAATTTTGAGTTTAATTATATTGTTCATTCTCAAAGTAGAAAATTATATTGTAATTATTTTAATTTACATTTTGTGATCTTCTTAAAATTAGCATCAATAACATTAGACTTTGCATTTGATTCATACCTAACTAATTATAGATTAAAAGGAAAGTGGTATAACCATGCATTTTACTTTTCTATTTACCTTATTCTTTTAATTATTTTATATAATATTTACCTTATTCTTTTAATTATTTTATATAATAATAATCAAAATATTCACATTCATATGGGC